TTTTGTTACTGTTTAATGCGATGCGATTGGTTACCATTCAGAATCTAAATACCTCGATGAATCAATATATCATTAATATTTCCATTGTTCAAAATCTCCGCCAAACCAGCCGCATTTGCGGCGAAGAGCGTTGGGCGGCTAGTGAACGTCGCGATTTTTCTAAAGCTATAACATTAGTATTCATGGATTCTATTGTGTCAATTGATCATGATAAAGTAACAACCAACGTTTTTGAATTTTTTCACAATAACTAACATCACCTTTTTTTTTTAATCAAATGATCTATTTATATTTAACAAAAGTATTTAAGTGTACAAACTTTGAATTGTTAAACTATATACACAGATAAAATCATACTTATATGGAATCGTTGTTTTATCATACGTTAATTATTTCCCTAAGTGGAAACGTACGCCAATATTTATTTTAAGTGATGAATATGTATATAAACATTTGTTAGTTTTATAGACATTTTTTTTTCTCTAAGTGATAACCGCAATAATCTTTAATAAAATATATTAAAAAACAACAACAAAAGTTTATATCAATTATTTTCTCATGACCATTGCTCTATATATACATCCACGCCACTTAAACCCTAACACACATAAAATTCTCATCCTTTTCGCACAACTTACATAAAAATGTCCTTCACCACTAACTCCCACCGTCGCCGGCTCGTCGCAACCACCGCAACTGCAACCGTAGACTGCCACAAACAAGTCCGTTCATGGCGGTTCCTACGCACCATCGTCCAACTTCTCCTCCCATCTTGTTACTGCACACTCGTAGATCCAAATGAGTATCAAGAAGACAAATCTCACCGTCAAATCAAACCAAGAACTTCCTCCGCCACCTCAAACTCCTCAACTTTCACCGGAACCATCTTCGGTTTCCGCCGTGGCAAAGTAAACTTCTGCATTCAAGCCACAAACTCCAAAACCCTAAACCCAATCATTGTCCTCTTAGAACTCACTGTCCCAACCGAAGTATTAGCCCGCGAAATGCAAGGAGGCGTGCTAAGAATCGCCCTGGAATCAAACAATAACGACGAATTTGATTCTCATCAAGATTCTTCTTCTCTTCTTACAACACCTTTATGGAACATGTATTGTAACGGTCGGAAAGTCGGTTTCGCCATCAAACGAGAGCCTTTGAAAGCTGAGCTAGCCGCGTTGAAGGTTCTAACTCCGGTGGCTGAAGGAGCCGGAGTTGTTAACGGAGAAGAGATTAACCGAGACAAGAGTGATCATATGATGTATTTAAGAGCGAGTTTCAAACGAGTTTTTGGATCGTTTGACTCGGAATCTTTTCATCTCATCGACCCACGTGGGATTATCGGACAAGAACTAAGTATCTTCTTTATTAGATCGTCACGAAAATGATTTTTTTCCTAGCATGAAGGACATCAATGATCAGTGCACTTGCATACTCTATGTTGTGATTATTTCGAGATTCGTCGGTTGGATTTTTTATTTCGATTAGGCAAACTAAACCGATTGATGTGTCTCGTAATATTTTTTTAGCTGTGCTTAATTAGATGAAAATGCAATAAGCATAGCTTTTGTATGCAGTAGTGGTGACCATGTGTTCATGTGTTTCTTGTAGTGCAAAGGCTTTTTAATCCTCTATATCCTTAAGTTTGCGTTCTATTATTGTCAATAATTTGGGGAATAAAGTTAAATAATTTTAGTTGGCCATCTTTACAAACAGAATGTGTATACATACAAGCAAACATGAGAGTTATTGTATAACTAATAACAGTAAACTTTACAAACTAATAAATGATAAATCTTATAATATACATATATACTTCAGGTATCAAATTGATATACCTAATTCATTTACAAAATACCGACATATATATCTAGCTAGATTTTATAACAAGAATATATATTTTGAGCCTATATGGATTTAAATGATAATATTCTTTTATTTAGTTGAAATAAACTCAATTTATGGCTCTAAAACGCAATCTATGGTTTATAGTTATAAAACATAACAATTTAATGGGATAGCCAAAAATAAAATTTGATTTTAATAATTTTTTTATAAATAAAGTAGGCAAAAATAAAATTTAATTTTAATAATTTTTAAAAAATAAAGTAGGCGACCGTAAATTTTGTGCGCATGAAAAAAATTCGGACTATAGTTAATTACTTAATTGTAACTAATTCATTTGTCGAAATTTTCAACAAAAACAATTTGATCGGCAATGCCGATTTTACGTCCTAAGCATTAAGCAATTTTTAAACACGAAGGTACTCGCACTTGTAATCTATACAGACTATATACGATATTACTTGTTTAATTTTTTTTATCTATCCAGTAATACGTATCGTTTATTCTTTTCTTAATTTACAACTAAGAGAAGGATAATCACTTTTTATTTCTCTTAAATAAAGAAAAACTCGTACGTGGGGTTGAGGTTAACGAGAGTCGAGACTTATCATGGGAGAATAATAAGAGTCCACGCGGCGAATCCATCACTACAAGAACACTAACCACTTTCTATTAAAATATTAATTTACATGTACATATAACCACCAAATAACTTATTAATTTTTTAAAAATTATTCATTCGTGACTTTATACTTTTGCTTAGAGAAAATGGCTAGCTGGTTGGCATAGCTGTTGTTGATTCCCTGTGTCTTTCCAATGTTCTTTTGTTTTTAGCCATAAAAAAAATCAATAAAATCACAAACATTCTATTATTTACATTTGTGATGATTTATCATCCACAGTTCTTTACTTTTTATTATTTAACTTGATTATCGAATTTTGAGAAGAACACAAATTTAAGGTAACGTAAGACTTGGAATATTATAAAAGATAAATGTCAAAGAACAAAGCAAATGATCTCACAAGTCACACAACACCACACCACAATCTCACAAACAGAGGTAAAAACTTTAAGATTGATAGCATTAAAACGCAAACGCTCAAACTTATTTGCGTTTTAGATTGGCGTTTTGATTGCCGCGGGAAGAGTTGATGGGTATACAAACAGGCCTTATAGCAAGTAAATGGGCCTTAAAATTAACAAACTAAAAACATTAGATGAATAATAATGTACTAAAACCGAAAGAAAACAAAAATAGTTCTAAAACTTTCACAACACAAAAGCCAAAACAATGATGCATCTTCTTGAGTTGTCACCTATTATCAGAGAATTCTTGAGTTTTCAGGAAGCCAATAAGTTTTAGGAATGGCGTGGAGATATGGTAGAGATGATGTTTGAAGCAGACTACTCTCACCATTGCTTGAAAGCATATTTGGACAATCTTGAGAGAAGCTAGTGCTAGCGACCATATCACCACAAGGGTTCTTCTGGAAATCAGAACAGAACACACCTGGAACTGTGTTCTGATCAAAACCATGAAGCTCCTTCTGCCGCTGCATCAAGTGATTCTTCAACTCAGATTCTTGTACTGAAACTAATGCTGAGTAATCTTGAGTGTTAGAGACGTAAGGATGTTGAAAATTTCTGCTTTGATCAAAACCATGAAGCTGTTGCTGCATCATCAACTGATTTTGGTTATTGGTGAGTTGTTCATTAGGATGTGATACAGAGAGTGGGAGTTGTCAGAGAGTAGCATCTCCATGGTTATAGATATACAGCGAGAACTTGCTAGGGTTCAAGGGTTGAGTCTGATATTGATGATGATGCTGGTTGAGAGAAGATGGTGTTAAACTCTGATGAACCAAGTTTGTTTTCCTCTGTTTCTGCACCTCGACAAAACGAAGCCTTTCTTGAAGGATAGATAGAGTCTGCTCCAAGGAAAGAATCAACTGAGAGAGTTGGTTTGGCGAGTAACGATCAAAGATTGGATACCAAACAGGATACTTGAATCCATTCAAA